CCATTTATATGCAGTACTCGTAGTTTCAAACTGCTTGACTTATCTTAACAATAAGGGCCTAGAAATTGTTTCAAAAGCACGTTTTAGATCCAAAAAAAAGAGCCACATCGTATCTTTAAACTCCAAGTTATTTTTCCACTTCGCTAATACCAAATTCAACGTGGTTTCACAAGATTTTTTTTTTTTTTTTGCTAGTAAAATTTGTTTTATTTAGAAAGTTAAAAAATAATTACAGCACAATCATTCAAACTTCGTTTTCCAAAGCAAATTCTAATGCGGTTACGTCGATTACATTATTACATTGCATAATAAAGGTGACATATTTTATGAACAATTTGAGTAATTTACATTTTTTGTTTGTGTCTATATTCCTTAATTGGGGCCTCAAGAGTTCGTCAATCGAGAGTCGGCGCCATCCATTCAGTAGAGTTGTTATCTTTCGCTTCAGTAGTCTCCAAGCTGGCTCTACCCTTACGCATTCGCTGAGCTTGTGCTGCAATGTTTCACATGCAGCGTTGCAGTGCAGACAGTTTTCTCCATCGGCTCTGTTCATTCGATACATCAGTTTTCGGTGCTCAAGCTTTCCGTTGACCAACAGAAACAAGGCGCTCCGTTCATTCGAGTTCAGCTTTCGCATGGATATGTTTTTTCCAGATTTGGCGCCAGTTCGCTGTTGGATGCTCACGAGTTACCTTCGGTGCTTCAGTTTGGCCTATGAAATGGTTATGAATGCTATCGGCGGAGAGGTTTTGTTGGATTTGCGGAGGGAATGTTGGGACCTTTCCGATATCTCTGGAATCAACAAACCATTTCTATTTAAATACTCCATCAGCTGGCCTTTAACAACACGTTCTAAAATTTTATCTTGTTTAACGAAACTCTTCGGCTTTAATCGCTCCAGCAACTTTTTGAATAGGAACTACTAAGGATTCCCTCCAAATTTGTGGCACATGTCCAGTTTGCAATGATTCATTATTAAGGTCCAGCAAGATGTGGCCAATGACATGAAAGCAATCTTGAATAACTCTAGCATTAACATTATCTACTCCAGCCGATTTTCCTAATGAAAAACAAATAACTCTAAGTTCATCTAATGTAATTGGATGAAAACGTTAAAATTTCTTCTTCTTCTTTTTCTTCTTCTTCTTCTTCTTCTTCGTATTTCAAGCTTATTCCATATCATATTAGCTTATTGCGTGCTCTCAACTTAGTGTTCTAGATGCACTTCCAAAGTTATTAATTGATTGCTTTCGATGCCTGTACACGTACAGTCAGGAATCCTTATTGCCGGGGTAACGGAGGCGTGAATAAGGAACCGCGAATAAGGATACCCACAGCTTATTGGACTTTCACTAATAGGGGCTGTGGTGGATTATCTCATTTGTTTCAATATATAGAGGTCAGAACTCGATTTCGGACGCCATTTTAAAATCCAAGATGGCGACCATCGGTTCAAGAAAAACTGTCAAATACCCTGCAATATGGGTATTTCTGGAACGGGGACGACGTATAGAAGCCGGAAATCGATGCAAGACACCATTTTGGAATCCAATATGGTGGCCATCGGTTCAAGAAAAACTGTCAAATTCTCTACAAAATGGGTATTTCCGGAAAGGGGACGACGTATAGAGGTCGGAAACCGATGCCAGGTTCCATTTTGGTAATCCAAGATGGAGGCCATCGGTTCAAGAAAAACTGTCAACTACCCTATAATATGGGATAGGAGTTGACGTGTAGAGGCTGTAAATCGATGCAAGACGCCATTTTGTAATCCAAGATTCTCAATCATGTTTTTATGTAAAGCGAAATTTACAGAAAGTAAATCTCCCTGGGCATTAGCGTGGCAACAAGAAAGGTTAGATGACCCGAGAATTATTTGAGGACTGGATAAACGACGGCTTCTCACCACAGTTGGAGGCGTTTTGCGCAGCCAGAAACATGAAGCTAAGCCCTAGTAGCACCCTTGTTATAAATTGGTCTCGAAAACTTAAATATGACTTATTTCAGTTATAAACAAGTTGCTGCAACCTTTTGGGACAGAATTGTGCTATTTGGGAGGCTTTGCTGCTCATTGATAACGCTCCGTTGCATCCGCCCAACATAATGCTTCTATACATGCCACCAAAATCACGTCTTTGATTCAATCCCTTGATCAAGGCATCATCAAAAATTTCAAGCTGAAGTATGTCAAGAGAAGCTACGGTTTTATTCTGGAAACAGCCAAAAATGAAGGCCGTTCACTAGCGGATACACGAAAGTAGTACAGCATCAAGAATTGTTTCAACTGCTTGGATGTGGTTCTAAAGGACATAAAAAAGCACGTTGGTAAACTGCTTGAAGAAAATTATTCCGTCGTATTTCGCGAAGTCACAATGCAATGAAGACGACAACGAGGATTTGCAGATCATGTCCGAAATTCAACAAATTCACGGAAAGTTTGGTGCGCCGGGGATAAGAAACACAGTGAAATCAACGAAATCATAAGAGATGAACTGGCTACATCAGATGAAATGTTAGCAAACTGGACCCATCTACAACGAATATGGATAATATTTACATCCAACCACGACAGAAATCGAGTTCAAAATGAATCAACTCTCCGAGTTCGAAACCTTCTGCATATTGGACAGTAATGTCGAACAGAGTGCAAAAATGCAAGATTTACTAAGGGAAGTCGAAACGTCTTGTTCAATGATACGTTATACACATTATACAAATTATACGCAATATGCTTGGTAAGCATTATTCAGGAAAATTAATGCGAGGCAAGATTTTGAGCTCCAACGGTAAAACATTAATTAGATAAAATTCATCTTCCTAGTGGATTATCGCCAAACCTACCTCGTAAAGGGTCAAAGTTAACTGTGCTGAACTGATACGAGGCTGTCCATAGCCACTAAATGTCCCTTCGAAAGCTGATTGCAACCATTTTGGATCCCAAAATGGTGACAGACATCGATTTTGGGCCTATAAACTTCGTCCCCATTAACAGTTTACGTTAAAGCAAAGGCCGCCATCTTCAATTTCAAAATGGCGTCTAGAATCGATATCCAGCCTCTACACGATATCCAGCCTCTATATCCCTATAAGGTACAAAAATAATCGATCGCACCTACCGAAGTTCTGCTTTATCGATGCTAGAAATGTGTCATATAAACAACACATCTAACACCGTTAATTATAGAACAGATGTAGCGGGGCTAAACACAACGTACGCTGGTACTCTACATACCGTGAAAGCTAATATCTCACGCAGAGAACGATCACGAAACAATACACACAGTCAAGTTGAACAAAGCACGAACGAGTCGACATAGATGAGCTTTATCTACTTTTGTGTATGCTTTATCCCACCATCTTCTTCAAAATAACCGTTGTATAGTGTAGTGTCATATAGTGTCCTATGTTAATTTATTTTAAACTCAATGTAAGTCCAGTAAAACAAAATACCGCGAAATAGTACCTCAACAACATCTAAAATACAGGCACCATACAGGAAGCTCCTCCAAGCTAAACACGCTTATCGTGGCAACAAACAAAAAAAATTGACGACAAACGGTAGACTGTGTATGTTCATGTTATATCAATGTTTAATGTTAGTAGTAGTCTCTATAGGTTGTAATATTTTTCTAGTTTACCCTTGAAAAAGGCCACAATAAACGGCCGAAACGTCGGGCAATGCAAAACTAACTGTTTGAATTACCCTAGACTGAGAAAGCCATAAAAACGAAATCTCCATAAAACCAGTCGAACAACCAAATCAATTGCAGGGTATTTGACAGTTTTTCTTGAAACGATGGCCGCCATCTTGGATTCTAAATTGACGTCTGGCATGGATTTCCGGCCTGTACAGGTTGTTCCCTTTCTGAAAATATCCATATTATAAGATATTTGACAGTTTTTCTTGAACCGATGGCCGCCATCTTGGATTTCAAAATGACGTCTGGCATCTATTTCCGGGCTCTACACGTCATCCCCTTTCCGAAAATATCCATATTATAAGGTATTTGACAGTTTTTCTTGAACCGATGGCCGCCATCTTGGATTTCAAAATGACGTCTGGCATCGATTTCCGGCATCTACACGTCGTTCCCTTTCTGAAAATACCCATATTGTAGGGAATTTGACAGTTTTTCTTGAACCGATGGCCGCCATCTTGGATTCCAAAATGGTATCTGGCATCGGTTTCCGACCTCTATACGTCGTCCCCTTTCCGAAAATACCCAAATTGTAGGGTATTTGACAGTTTTTCTTGAACCGATAGCCGCCAGCTTAGATTCCAAAATGAAGTCTGGCATCGATTTCCGGCTTCTACACGTCGTCCCCTTTCTGAAAATATCCATATTGTAGAGTATATTGGTTGTTTTGCCGGAGTTACGAAGTTTTTAAGAAATTACCTTACCATTCCCGTGTCGTCAGCTATTGCTGAGAGGTCGTTTTCAGGTCTTAGGCGACTTAAGACCTATCTACCATGGGACAGCAAAGGCTGAATTCCATTTCTTTATAACATTTTCAGGTCTCGATTTGGAAATTGTTATGAGCTAGTTCATCAATAAGAATATTCAAAAGCAGCACATTTGAAATTTTTAAAAAGGGATTATTGGACAATAATAAAAACATGGATAAATCTATTTTGCTGAACAAAAAATCCATGCGTCCACTTTTTTTCAAACCATCTTGCGCTCGATGTTTTAATGTCATTGTGCAACTGTTTTTTTTTTGTTAATTTCCCAAAATTAGTAGCAACGACTGTCCAGGGAGCGGGATTGAATTCTGTGTAACTGTTGTGTATTGAGTCTCCATGCACTATAGGAACCTAACGCTTCTAACGTACCGCAACTATAGGAGCGTTTCCCCTAATGCTTCCAAAATAACTTGCATTGATAGTTTTGCATTGTTTTGATCCGGAACGCCAATCATTTCATATGAACACAAAAATTCAAAATAGAAAACCACAAAATCGCTCATACACACACACACACATGCAAACAGAATCATACCTTGTCGATCCGCCCGGGATCCATTCGGATGCAGAGTCTCTTTCGACTCGAGCGCCGGTGGTTGTTTGTCACCCTCCACACTTTCCTCGTTGCTCTTCCAGTATAATTGTGCTATCTTTGCGATGCACTGCGAAGTAAAATCAGAACCAAGCATAGGAATTGCATCATTATAACCATTTTCACATCATTCCAAACCGCTGCTGCCTGGCTAGACCGGTGCTGTTACTGGAAAGGCCATGGCTTAGCAAGCATGTAGAAGATAGTGCACTTACTTTCAGCTTCATATCACCGCGTTTGAAATGTCGCAGCCTCACTCGGAACTCTAATCCTAAAATGGTAGTCTGTAGGCCTTCTCTCCCGGTTATCACAGTGTTGTAAGGGCGCAGAGCGTTCACTTCAGCCTCGTCGCCGTTGATGAACCACGTCAGCTGGGCTGCCGGCTTGGACCGACCCGAGGTGCAGTTGACTCGCACGGTGTCACCGATTTGATAGCGGGGCCTGCCACCGGTGATTTTTGGGTCCGTGTCCGGCAGTGCTTTGGAATGAAAAGAACGAAAATGGACTATAAATTCCACGCACTGTTGCGTTGCTGACCTCGGTCATGAATGCTACCAGAGAAGGGTTGTAACCTTGCATGATTCGCCAGAATCCTATCCCTCCTTTGTCGGTAGTGTTTTGAAAGCTGGTGATCCACGATGACTAGCACTTTAAATTTAGGATGTTCATTCGTAGCGCCCCCGGCTTTCAAAACCCATGTATTTGATATACTCTAGAGCTGCACTTACCGACCACCACCATGTCACCGTGGCTAGAGACGGTCTGAAACGAGGGTGCCTCCGCTGACACCTCACAGCGGTATCGCCCGGACGACGCTAGCGTCACGTTGTTTAGAACTATCTGATTTGCAGTCGAATTTAGTAGCTGTGAATGTAAAGCAAACCGGCGCAGTTCATAAACTTCTTTTTTGAAATTAAAGTGCAAAGGAAATGAGAACATTCACAAACGCAGAGGAAATACTCACATCAACTGACACCCCAGTCAGGAGGAATAGCTGAGCTGGAGGATTATCTCTAGGAACAAATCTGAAGAACTCGTTGCCGTCTTTATACCATTTGACAGAGTACAGTTGTTCGCCGTTCAGGTCATAGGTACATTCGAGCTGGACGGTGCTGTTTTTGGTCACGTGCTCCGGGATGCGGACTGCCGTTAGTTGCAGGCAGAAGCAGATATCTGGAGCAGAATGGGATGGATAGAGAAATTGGAGAATCCTTTGAAGCTAGCTGTTTACTTTCGATGAAACGTGGGAGATGATTCTATTGTATTAAATGTGCCGTGATAACGTGTCATTCGGGTTTTTGGTTTCCATTCGTTGGCTTTGAAATAAGACGCTTGTACTTTGTGTGATGTTATGGAGTTGCATGTTGCGTAACACTTCTATGAAAGTTGTCAGCACTATCAAGAACTTGCCCATTGATATACCCGGATAAAAATATATCAAACGTTAACCTTAAAATTAGATGCAAATATAATAAACTGTATTCATTTCTTTAGTTAATTTATCTTACAAGTGGCACAGCCATACAATTACAATATACTCTAAAGATTGCAAAGTTACACATATAACAAACTAACTTACATATAGCGAATGGAATTTGAGACTGTCAAAACTAAATTTGCACAGAAAAAAGTCTTTACAAAACAAATTTTGGTGTCTCGAAAAGAGTATTAGCCGAAAACTAAATTTACAACATCATCAAATTAATTACAGTATAACACCCAACTGGTTGGGGTGAGTATACATGATGCAGGTTCGAACGTTGAGGTGAAAAAACTCTGTTATAAACTTTTTGTCCGGCAAGTTCATTGCACAGTTAGCTGTTAGTCATCTGTTGATCTGGTTACCAGAGTATTTCTAAAACCAACATTTCGATTGATGGTCAAAATCATGCCGAAATCAATCCAAAAAACTGTCCCTAAATACGGTAAATTGAATGTTTCAAGTAAATTGTCAAGCGAACTTTCCCAACAGAAGGATGTGTGTTCCAAACATGCCTTAGTTTATATAAAATTAGTCATTGGTGTTCAATCGTACACAAAGACCATTTTAATGAACTGTGCAGAATTTGCCATAAGCTGTAGAATCTACTGTGCGATTATGCAGCGAAATTCAACGATATATTTACTTTTTCGGTCGGGCTATTTTAAAAACTATATACACTAGACTGATGCAAATTTTGAAATTTTCGGCTCACAGTGCTCAAGCGGTTCCAAATTGGGCCCTCATTAACCTCCAAAAATTTGAGCTCATTCAGTAACCCAAGCAACACAATTTGTCACAAACGGGTTTACATAACTTATTTATGACAATATCAACGGTAAACATTTACGTCTAGTCACTTATATACAACTTATTTATACCGAAAAAAGCGCAAGAGGTTGGATCTATATACAACATTTGCTTGACTTGCGCAACTTATTTATGACTATAACGCAACCTACTGTATTGGAGCTTGAGCTTGAGCTTGATTGACCGCCCACGGTTGCTACTCTGTTACTGCCAGATCAGCTGTAATTACACAGAGAACCAATAGACGATGCTTGGGACTAGCAATCATCCTCAATGTGTAAAAACTGGTGATCTTAAATTAGGCAATACCAGCGCCGGCCGCGCCCGAACACAGGTCAAGAAAGGAATGGGAAGGATTGTGTTGACATGACACTCGCTTTGATGGAAGCCGAGAACACCTCTGCACTTCCACGAGGAATCACTGGGATGTTGGATAAGAGGGTTGGGTTTGCAGCAGGGTTCGTTTTGGTAAACGATAAGCTGAATTGATGTCCTAACGATCATATAACGCGAAGGAGCTTGGGACTAAACCCACGGTCTTCTGCTCAGTAAGCAAAAACGTTTGCCACTAGGCAGACGAGCACCTTTTTAATCACCGAGTTGCTGTTATTACCATGTAGTCATATTAACAAATAAAACGATTGACGAATCTTGAATGTGGATGGGCCTGAGATTAAACTCATGATGTTCTGCTCAGTAAGCAAAAACGGTTGCTCTAAGGCCACCGAGCCCCTCATATCACATAATACCGTTGCTCAAATTTGTGTATCCATTCAAACCCGGAACCAACGACAACAAAGAGTTTCGCAAAATACACGATACACAAGCGATTTTACCATAAATCTCTTTGATACCCTAATAAAAAATAACCATAAACGAACGATAACCCAAATCATTGAACTATTCCACAAATGGTTTGGATGATAACCAGAACACGTCGTTAAGCAAATTAACCATACAATTTTTATTAGGGTATGTAAGGACCTGGGACCGCGTTTATCTGCTCAGTAAGCAGGCCACTGTAACCGACGATCTTTCAAATCCGAAAACTAAAAACTACGAAAAAGTACTTAGGCCTTCATTAAGTTCCACTTTCACGCGACGTTCAATGACAGGGTCCTATCCAGGATTACATCTGAAAAATCCAAATCTGGCCAACGCCCACCCTAAACTTAAACCTGTTCTAATCCACCTGAAATGACTAACGAATGGAAGACTTTGACTACCCAGCCATGCAATAGTCTCATTCCGTGCCTTATGGCAACTTGATGATTCTATTGCGCTCATCTTTTGGCACCACCCAGGGGAGACTTGGTCCTGTACCCAATGCTTAACTTATCTCCATTCCACTCAGCTATTCGCAGTTTCTTGTGATATAGTGGGCGGAATATTATTATGTGAGACAATTCAATGCAGACGTCTTTCCAAATTTGGCAGATCGACAGGTAATCGGTGAGTTACCACGATAGTTGCTATTCAACAACTCGACAACGTTCCATCGTCAACGCCTGCTATGAGAATTTCCCATTGCAGACGCCAACGAAATGACGTCATCGAGCTATCGATCAACTACCCTGGTTATCGCCTGGTACCTTATAGCACGATGCTACGAGGCGAACCGGAAGAATCGATGAGCTACCTCTCCCCCTATAACGCAACCTACTGTATTGGACATGTTGTAAATTAATTTCATCCTTCCTACGAATGGAATTTGTTTATCATCAACTTATTCTTCTGAGGAATTTTATCGTGCGAATAAAGTGCTCAAACTGAGATTCCGTTCTGCAAACATTTATGCGGTTGCAAATTTATGGTAAATCTATACATTCTACTTCTAAAAAACTCATTGGCTCTTATAAAAAGCTTAATATAATAAATTGAATTGCATAAAAAATCCTGGATAAAATTTCCAACTTTGCAAAAAACAAAAACAAATAGAATATCAACTTTCTTTTTCAATTATCTTACTTTTCTCTTTTACAAAACGTACAGGTGATGTTGAAAGCACAAATTAAATGTTTTTTTCATCCTATACATTGCTTCATTGGTCAGCCATATTGTAGTGCAGTTTGTAGAATGCATTGAGAAATTTCATAAATGCTATCAAAACATGTTTATAACACATTACTTGTATCGCATATTGAAGTTATAATTAGGTATGGCAACTCTCAATTGCCTATTTATAACACTTTTATAACTGATTGTTTTTGATGAAAACTTGCTAGGCTTATATACAACATGTTTTCATATGTCATTTTTGGAACCATGAGCATAACTGATATATAACTTATTAATAACATGTTATCAATAACTTATATCCCAGATGTATTCATAGCCAGTTTTCACGAAATACAATGAGTTATAAATGTGTTATAAACTGGTAATTGAGACATTGAATATCGAATTATAACTTCAAGATAATAAGTGCTTGTCAGAAAGGTTGAATACTTCACAAACAACAATACAACGCGTCTTAAACAGAATGTTTTAAAAGAAATTAATATATAACTTATTTACAACTGGAATATTTTTTATTTTTCATGCAAGATGTTGCAAGTGTTACTTGGGAAGACACTGACTTGGCACAAACCATTTGAAGTTTATATGGGAATTACTATGGAGAAACCATAATTTCGATTCATATCGATCTCAAAATTCACCAGTTCACTCTACTTTAAAAAATGATAACTGAGCTTGTTGAAATTTTTTTCAGTTACAACTTTGTTGAAAACCACTTTTCGATCAAATGTAAGGAACAAAAGTTATTAATGATTCAAGTCACTGATGTCTTATGATTATGCTAAATCAACTGTTCAGCAGACAACATTGGTGTTTATGGCGCGTAGAATAGAGGACAAAATCATGGCTACTATGTAACACTGCAGAATACAGAGTTACCCACAATACAGTTGCTTAATCTTGCCATAAGATTATCAATCTCTTAAACAATTAATAACTATTTAATTTGACGTTTGGCTGAAAAACGACGTTCTCCAAAGTTGTAGCTGAAAAAAAAAATCCCATAAGAATAGCAATAGAATTTGTTAACAGTATAATATGTAAAAAGGCTAAAAGACAATGAACAAAAAGTTTGGTTTTCCCATAGTAGTTTCCATATAAACTTCAAATGGTTTGTGCCAAGTCAGTTTTTTTTTATCAATTGAGTTTAAACTTTCGGAGGCTAATCAGGACCCGATGTGAAACTGTTTGAACACTGTGGAGTGAAAATTTCAAATTTTGCATCAGTCTAATATACACTCAGGGCTATTTTTACACGAGAGAGTGTAAGAAAAAACCGTGTGAAAAAAAAACCTACAAAGATTTTGATACTCCGAAAGTTAAAATATTTTCAAAAAACTGGACTTTGATGCCATTTGTTATTGTAGCATGCTATGGTCCTTATTGACATATTTTAACAATTTCTGTATTTGCACCCAACATCAAGTCGTACCGTATAAATTGCTGCTCAGCGGCACCAACGGTGTAATAAAACCGCAAAAAAGACTTGAGTGTAATCTAAAAGTGAGAGTAGGTATTTGTGAATTTTCACTGTTTGTCTTTATTTTATTTTCTCGAAATTATGAAGTCTTTTTTAGATACAGTCCTTAGCATACATTTTTGAAATCCACCAACTTAGAATGAAAAAAATACAAAGTTTACTAGCCTTTCACTTTGCAGCGATGAAGACGATTTTTTTTGTTAATTAATTTATTGTATAAGGCTCAATCGAATTAACTTTACAGAGCCGATGATTCTTGTTCATTATACAAAACATCATAAAACTATAGCTAAATGGCAAAGCACAATAAGGCTCCTCCATCAAAACGGAATCCGATTCCTGTGGTTTCATTGTATGGCAGTATCGCCAATGGGAGGCAGAGCG